GGGAATCGAACCCCAGATCAAAAGAGAATTACAACTGATAAGCAGATGACAGATGCTCTACCAACTGATCTAAGACACGGCGCTAACGATGATATATTTATATATAATTTTTTTTATTAAATCTGAAAACGTCATGTTACTGCAAAACTAAATGGAACTAGTTTGAGCAAAATAAACTTATAGAAATTCATTAAATTATGCATAAAAGTGGCTGTATTTACTTCTGAAAAAATACATTTCAAAATCAAACAAATTAAACAAGCTCAAAAACACTTTTTGTTTATTTATTACGTATCATTAAAATTAATTAAACTCAAAACTGCTCATACAAAATTATAGGAAGGAAGTAAAGCACCTCAAGGAACTCTGCTCCAGGTTCCAGATCAGATTTCTCAAGTATCGGCCTGTCATGCCTTCCAACATACAGGTCCTTCGCAATGGCGAAACTTCTAACAATCACCCTCCTCTTCTCCTCCATCTCCTGATCAAATCTTGGAGTTCTGGCAACCTTCTGATTTATCGCACCATTAACCTTCCTCTGATAAGCTGCCACTGCCTTCACAAACTCCTGCAACATTTTATCATCAAAAACAAGCAATATATATTTTATTCAAGATTTTATAATTATATAAGGATTAATGGAGGCATACACAGAGCTACATACGTTGGAGGTTATTCAGAGGGTATTGGGTGTTATATCCGTGTTATATCTTGTGTAACATTCCTGTAATTTATCTATAACCCCTTAATGCCCTCTGAATAACCTCAGACGTACCTTACGTGACGTGTATGTACTTAAATTTTTCTCGGATTCATGATACCTGATAAGCCCTGGCGCAACCCGGATAATCAAACTCATCCGACCCATTCTTCCTCATCCTCTCCGGATGAAACTGCAATCCCATCAAAAACTTCCCCTTTTCCACATCAAACACCTCCGGATCATAAAACCCTTCCACCAAACCATCCTTAGCCAAAGCCATAACCCGAAATCTTTCCGCCAATCTCTTAACTCCTTGATGATGATAACTATTCACCAATATCTCCTTCTCCCCAAACCACTCTTTCAATGGCGTCCCATCCACCACGTCCACAGCATGCCTATGTCCATCATAGTTCTGGTAGTCGACATGTTCGACGAAATGCCGCAACTCTTTTCCGACGTCGCAGTACAGGGTTCCGCCGCAGGAGACGTTGAGGATCTGAGATCCCCTGCAAATGCCGAGGAAGGGAATGCCGCGGGAGAGGCAGAGGTGGGAGAGACGAAGTTCGATGGAGTCTTTTGAAGGATCTGTTGCAGTGTCAGAGGAATGGGTGAGGCCGATTTCATGGAGGTCGGATGGAGAAAGGAAGTCGGAGGGGTTGGAGGAGTAGTGGGAAGGATCGATGTCTTCGCCTTCGCAGAGTAGGACGCCATGAATTGGCTCGAAGCTTTCGAGTAGGAGATGAACTCCGGCGACGCGGGGGACGATGATGGGAACCGCGCCGTAGCGGAGGATAAGATCCAGGTGGTATTCTCCTGCATGTGGGAATTGGAGAGGAAAACTAAACGAACTAAAAAACAAAAAAAAAAAAAAAGAACTTTTTTTTTAAAAAAAATGGTTTTTTAGATGATGCATACCGACAAAATCCACGAATTTGTTCTTACGAACGCATCTGCGAGAGACGATGATGACGCGGGGAAGGATGGTGGAGAGATCGGAGGAAGCCATGGCTGCTTCAGTTGCTTCGCTGATCTCTTGCTGCCAACTTACTCTGCTTCGTCTCAGACTTTTATAGAAAGGAAGATTGTATTTATCAGTTAAAATATTGACATCATTATGTTCCTTATTTTTTGTTGGGAGATTTTTACTCATCGAGGCGCCGCGTTACAATATATATATATATA